ACAAAAAAAAAAAAAAAAAAAAAAAAATTCTAACCTAATTTAGTCGCTTTACAAAGCAACAGAGGTCCAGAGAAGGTGACTTGCCCCAGATCACAGAGCTCACTAATTCATCAGAGCCCAAAGTGGAACCCATGCCTTGATTCAGCTCTTTCCTCACCAGGCAGAAGGACCAGAGGCTCTGGACTGTGCTCCTCACAGCAGTGGCAACTTCCCCCAAAGCATACGTTCCCAGATGCTGACACAACCACAACGGCGCTGACCCTTCACTGTGTCCACCTGTGCGTCCTGGAGGGAGGTCGCTTGGCAGCCACCACACATACACAGCTGTGACAGTGCCTGGCTGTTGGAGCAGAGTGTGTTACGATGGGCAAAAGCTCCTGAAGCCAAGTGATCTTGCAGGGGCCGGAGTTGCCAATCAGGTCTCATTCCCAAAGGCTATGTGACAATACCAACACGCAAAAGCCTTTAAAAAAGAACAACAGAAGATCTTAAAGCCTAGCCCTTCTTTGAATTAAAGTAACTTTGAAGAGAAAAATAAAGCACAACGAAATCGAGATATTTACTTAAGAAGGACAATGCCAGGGTTGTGCCCTGCTTCATGCTCGAGGCTGTGCCCAGCCGGGCTGACTGGTCAGGGCCGGAGAGCCAATGAGCAGCCCTGCTGCCTCGGCCTCTTCACCCAAAGCACTGTGATCTCCACTGGAGAGAGAGTGAAGTTCTAACGAGTGTACTGTGTTAGGACAAAAAAAGTACATTAGTATGTGGTTTCCAACCAGTGCTGAAAAAGAAAAACAGGGGTTTCCTGGCTAACCAGAAAGCTGTTCCCTGAGCATTCCAACTGAGGTCCTGTTACGAGGAAAACACTCTATCAAGTCTAGCATTACGTAGCTTGTCAGGTGAAACTAAGCCAGTCAAAGGAAAAGGTCTGCCCCCTTAAACTTAAAACATTAAGATGTTAAGTGTGAGGGCTCGGGATGTGGCTTGGTGGCATTGTACCTGCCTGGCAAGTATAAGGTTGAGTTTGATTCCAGTACCCTAAGGAAGGAAGGAAGGAAGGAAGGAAGGGAGGAAGGGAGGAAGGGAGGAAGGGAGGAAGGAAGGGAGGGAGGCAGGGAGGCAGGGAGAGAGGGAGAGAAAGAAAGAAAGAAAGAAAGAAAGAAAGAAAGAAAGAAAGAAAGAGAAAGAAAGAGAAAGAAAGAAAGAAAAAGAGAGAGAGAGATAAAATGTGAGTGACTTAATCATTTTTGGAAACAGTGTAAAGTGTCTATATAGTCACACACACACACACACACACACACACACACACACACTGGAAAAAACAACACATTTTTAATCTCCAATTTTTGTTAACTGCTAGCTGCTTTTTGGGTGAATTAAATACCAGAACAGTAAATTAAGACTGCTTCAGCACAGGAAACAGAGAAGTGGCTGAAGGAACGCAGTAGCAGATGTGCCGTCTCTGTGAGACCGCAGACCCTGGGCCGGGATGTGGCAGACACCTCGGAGCCCATCTCAGGACGATTTGGCTTCAAGTGGCCACAGATGAAGCCGCACTGACCAGGGAGCTCCCCAATGCCCTCCCTGCTCAGATTCTCTTCTGTGTCGGACAGCATGATGTGCTCTGGCAGAGAAACAGTCAAATTTACTAATTCCACCATCCCAAAGGATGACTATTCCCGAAAGAAGTAGCAGCAGCTCCGCAACAGAAAAACAATAAAACAACAAAACTTAAATATAAGAAAGGACTCTGTTTGGGAAGAAACAAGAAAAAAAAAAATCTCTCTGGCTAGGAACTCAAATTATTTCTGAACCTAAAATTTAAAAAAAAATTTGAGGGGGGAAAATAAGCCCACCATTTTCCAGAACGTTACATTACAGAAATCAACGTAACCTTCATAAGCCACAAAGAAGGCAAGCGATCTCTGCCTCTTAGACGGACTGTGTGCAAGTGTGCAGGGCACGCGTGGCAGGTCAGAACCGCGTGTAGGCGTTGCGCTGCTGCTGCTGCTGCTGCAATGGCTGCTGGGCCTGTTGCTGCTGTAGGCGAATCTGCTGGGAATAGGGGTCTTCCAGGGACTTCACGAATATGGTAGTTCTAGGGCCGGTCTTCCACACGATCCCATTAGCATCCTTCACCGAGGACTCCACTGTGATGTTGTGCGTCCCGAGGATGGCGAAGTTCAGCAGAAACTGCGTGCTGAAGTAATCGTTATGAGGCTCGACCCTCTGCTCCATCTCGTTGGTCATGTTGTCAAGGGGAATCTGCAATGAAAGATTGTTAAACACCTGTAGCAGCTACATTTATTCTGCGCTTACTACGAGCCAGGCCCCATTCGGAGCGCTAGGTCCCATACCGTTCTTGTTTTATGGTGAGGAGGCTGGGGCAGGAAGGGAATACAGGCTCCCACCTTCACAAGGTTAATGAGGGCAGAGCTGGAGCGTGAATTCTGGCAGCCGGCGCCAGAGCGACCTCTCACTGGTAGGCGCCCTGCCTCGCTCTCTGAGGGGAAGCCGCTCACAGGCCTTCAGCGCCCCTCACAGGCTGCCCCTCTCCCATGCCGACCCCACCCCTGCTCCAAAGCCACTTTCTTTAATCTGCAGAGAGCTGTTCTGAAGAAAGAGGATCCAACCACCTGCTTCAGTTATTATGAGGCTCTCAAATCTGAGAGACTGAAGAAGAACACGACGGTGAGTTGAGTTAGGTCCCTGCCCCTTCGTTACCCTCATTTCCTATTACTAAAGGGCAGCGACTGCTTCTTCCTTAATGAGTTAACGCTAGAACCTGTACACTGCTCATGCAAAGTCTTGTTCAGACTGTAGTACAATGTTACAAAACACGGATGTGCTGATGCACTCATATAACCAGACATTCAGGATAAAATCTGGTGTCCTCATCCCCACCCCAGGCACTCTGGGAACCAATTAACTGGAATCTCACTGGATATTTGGCAAGATGGCTCTGTTTACAGGTGTGCTTGTGTAGTGCAATTGTGTTTAACGGCACCTGCAGCTTTGCGGCTCGAGCAGTTATCCTGGGGTCGGTTTTCCAGATGCGCTTCCTTATAACATTTATGAAGTCACCAACCAATTTGAGATCTTAAGAGCTACTTATGGTACGGGTGCTTTTTTTCTCTTCACATCCAGCTTTGTAGGGTTATTCTTTCCCTAAAAACAGGACCACCAAAGGAGAACTTCCTTAAAAGGACCGGACAGGCATGGGCAGTCTGATTAACCTCAGTGGACGGTCGCATTCTGAGGTGAAGCTCATTTGCCATTAGCACTGCACAGCCACGGGGCCAGCTTCTGGCCTTTAATCGGTTCCTCTGAGAGGTAAGTCAACAAGCAACGTGTCTAGGGTTGAGTAGCTTTTTTCTTAACAGAGGAAATTATTATATACAAAGAACAAAGAGATTCATGGTTGTTATTTCAAATTCAAAATTGGGAGAGAAAGCTGCAAACTGGGATAAACCACACAAATTCTTATTATTATTTTCTGTGACATCTGAGATTACTCAACCCTAATAGATGTACTTTACAGCTCACATAGTACCGAGCTTTTTTCAACACGCACCAAATATTTACTGAGTAGCTACATAAGGCACCATGCCTGTGCCACAAATCAAAAGAAGAGAAGAGAGCCAAGGCGGAGCCTTGTCACAAAATAGATAAAGAAGAGCCCCACAGAGGAAGTCCAAAGGTGACAGCCATGATGGCGTAAAGCAGTCCTTCGCTGGGCTTCTTAGCTGAAACTGCTGAAAGAAATGAAATTTGTTTTTTGTGTCTTCACTGATAACCCTCCTCCTTACCATGAGCTATTAGTTCAAACATGTCACAAAAGCCTGGACACAGCCACTCTGGGAATCTGAACAGCTTTGCAAGCACAAGTGTGAACTTGTTCTCTGCTCTCTTACTGTGGATAAATCGCTAAAGAACTGGAGCGATGTCTAAAAAAGTAACACTGGTCTTTCATGGGCACATACTCACCACCCTACCTCCAGCTGACACCATATACCTGATTCTGGTTCGTACCTACCTCTGGACTTCTCGAGAGTGAATTCCTAGAGTTACAGCCTTCAGGGAAGGTTTTACTTTATCTGACCACTGAATGTGAATGCTACGCACATATAGAGCACTCCTAGTGGAGGGGGTGGTCTTACTGACTGCTAATTTCCAGGCAGGAACTGGCCTGGAGAGCTGGGCTTCCCCTTCTTTGGGCACAAGGGCACTCCTCCCTGCCAGGAGGCTGCAAGGGAAGCTCCCTCCTGTGCACTGGCTGAGGCTGGGCTGGAAAACTCAACCAGAGGCACTGGTGAGGAAATTCCAGCTGCTAGGCACCTGAGCTGGGTTTCCCCACAGCTTAAACTCCTATTCTGACCTCTGCCTGGATGCTGTCTATTAACTAATTCAGACAGGAAAAAAAAAGTGTTAATGGTCTCCTCAGATCTCAATATGTGCATGTAATTTATGTAACTGCAATCAGCTTAACCAGGAAAAACAATGGAAAATGTCCATCACAATTCTGCCTCTCCACTCAATCACCTTGTAGTCTTGTCCAGATTTACTTTGGAGTGTGGAAGAAACATTCAGGCAGACAGTCTGGATTTTGCGGAAGAGTCCTGGTTTCGATCCATGCTGAACCACTCCCTCCACCTTCAGCGCCAGCTGCTGGTTATTTTGGACAGCAATGGGCTCCGCAGGGTTCCGGGGGGAAGGCGACAGAGCAAGCTGCAAGGCAAACACTCCAATGAATGCCAACAGCCATGGGCAGCTTTCTTCTCACAGACCTGTGCGAATCACTGCCACAGACGGCTGTGTTCACTGGCGCGACCCTTTCCCCCAGGCCCTGACCGCGGGACACTGGGCAGAGGCAGCTTCAGAGCCAAGCTTCCTTCTCCCGAAGGCCTCCTTTAAGTACCCTGCATTTTCATCCCAGACCTCGGCTTTAAGGGGAACAAAGGGCAGAAAACAGTAACGGCACTGTCTGCCAGTTGTTCGTGGTGGGCTGTGGTTTGGACAATGAACCACTTCCGGTAGGGAGAGGCACTGTGTACATTTTCATGTTCAGATATTGTCTCTTTGCTCTTGGGTAAGTTACTAAATTTAAGTGGAAGTAATTGTAAAAGCCTAGGCTTCTTTACACAGTGAAGTCATTATGATATAAAAATTCCATAAATGAACCAAATAACTGTTTTTCTTTTCTAGTGCTGGGGACTGAACCCAGAGCTCTGTGTATGCTAACCGAATACCATTTAACCTTTGCTTAGAGTAGTTCTTTAAAAAGCTATTAAAACCCCAGTCATGCTTCAATTACGGAAAGTTCAAGCCTTGCTAAATGAAAAGATGGAAGAAACTGGAGTTTCCTAATAATGCTAAACTGTGAAACTAGTCAACCCTGGAGACCTCTGGCCTGTGGGCTTTTTCTTGGGTAATCAATTTTCCTGATTATTTAAGTCATTTTGAAACAGAATGCTCTTCGCTCTGCAAGCAAACGCATTTGAGTGGATGTAAAAGTTCAGTGAAGATATTGACAGGGATAATCCAGGAAATATCTCAGAAGTGGTAGTATTTTACCAACCAAAAAATTCTATTATTTGAGCCAAAAATAGCTTTTGAATTTTGAGTGGTCCGAATATTTCAGAATACTAACTATACTCATTGGCCAGTTCCCCAAAACTTGTTATTCAAAGGCAAACGTGTGCTGCAGGTCAGACTGGTGACACTTTCCTGGCCCTGATTAAGTCTCAGTAGGGTCTGAAACGGCCGCTCAGCCAAGACGCAGCTCTCAATCCTTGCAGGGCACTAAGATAAAACCACTAACTCACGCCTGCCAGCAGGAGACAAAGGGCAGATGCCAGTTACTCAGATGCCAGCTCGCTGCACTTGGCCCTGACAGTTGAAAAGGGAGAAGAAGGTCTAACTCTTATCCCATTTCTTTCACCAAATCTCTTAAAAAAGGAAGGAAAGGCATAAAATGAAAGGTTATAGATTTTTAACAAAACCAAAGTTAAGATTCTACAGTGCAGGGTGGGTCCCATTTAATCTCCAAAACCAGCCAGTTTCAAAAACTGCACCAACCTCAGTATTCTTCCTAACTTACCTTGATGCTGGTAGACTGCAGTTTCTGGAAAAAATATCTCTGGAACGACAGGGGAACTTTGAGCAAAGCAATGATGGCATTGCAGAGGCAAGCTGTGTGCTGAGGGAAGAAAAATCAACTGAAAGTAAGTTTCCAGGTTTCATCAACAAATAATGATTAGGGTTACAAACTCAAATAGATCATTGCAAAACCACACACCAGCCAGGAAACAGGCACAATCTCCAGGAACTGGGCATATCTACTCCATGATTCAGGCCAAGGAGTACCTTACTTTATCTTGAACTATATTCAATAAGAAATAGGAGAAGGGAGAAAATCCACATTCCTCCCCGGGCAAATTTCACACTTTATAGACTGTGGAGCTACCAGACACATTAGTACATCATCACTGCAGATGCTGAAAGGCAGAGTAATATCACACGGCAGGGTATGACAAAGAGCAGGAAGGAAGCCAGAGCAGTACAGACGCCCTGAGCCTCACACAGACCCCAGTGGAACCTCGGCTCCGACATGGCTTATTCTTTTCCTACTCCTCCTCCTCCTTTGTTGTGACGTCCACGGGTCCCCAGAGTGGGCAACAGTGGGAACTCACCAGGACTCAGAATAAGGATGACTACAGTAGCCTGCCTTCATGGAATTCTGAAACTTTAATAAGATACTTTACCTCTAAAATCTATTTCACACATTTAACTGAGTTTTGAAAACGCCAGCCCAACTTCAGAGAAACAAACACAACAGAGAATCCTTTGAGTCTTAGTGACAGGTGTCAGAGTTTAAGAGTTCTAAGACATTTTAAAAATTACCTGGGCTAATTTTAAATTGTGCTGAAGACACAGGCCACACACAGACATCGGACAAGATGGGACCAGAGCCTATGATGCCTAACTCCCTAGTGATTTTGTTGTATTTTACTAGTGATTTACAAACTAAACAGAAATCACTAATGCACTGTCAAACACGTACCCTCGGATGAATGAGACTGTTCCTGCAGTCTTTTCTGTCTCCATGCCCTGAAGACAACGCTGCACTACAAGGAAGGCTGCCCGCCATTCCAAGCTCCTGCTTCAGGGCAGAATGCCACCTTTTCTCCCAGGCTCTAAACACAGGGGGCTTTTAAAAAAATTTTTTAATGTATATATGTATGCATGTATTTTATTTTTTGGAGACAGGGTCTCGCTATGTAGTTTGGTCTGTCCTCCAACTCCTGGTGATCCTCCTGCCTCAGCCTCTAGAGTGCTGGGACTTACAGGTATGCACCACTACACACAGCTTAAACTTAGCTTTACAAAGTTGGGCATGAAAGCCGAAAGCCAAAAGCCAGAAAAAATTCATTCAGGTAGGTAAACATTTTGTGCCCAAGGGACTCAGTTCAGATACCAGGTCTGTGACGTGAGATAAGCACAACACAGACTTGAAGGCCCCATCCTCTCTCTCCAGCTTTAAGCACTAAAGGCAGCACTACCCGCCTTCCTGCACCAGGAAGCGTGCCAGGCACTTGTGGGAACATCCTGTCTGGGGCTGGGCCTCTGGTGCCACAACCGTGCCGAAGGAGAGAAACACCTTAACAGGGTGGACTGAATGGACCACAAATGACTGGTGGCCAGTGATGGCGAACCTTTCAGAGCTTTCAGTGATATAAACAGCCCACTGCGGCACGTATGCCATAGGTTTGCCACCACTGCTCTCAGCTCTTTCTCTAAAGAAAGCCACCGTTTTGCCTTTTAAATCAGGAATGGCTGCAGATCTGCATGCTCCACTGTGATGTGCGGACCGTCCCCGAGACTATTGGCCGCTTGGGCACACCTCTATAGGAGCAGTCACTATTAAGTAGCACTCTGAAGGTGGCCAACTGCCTATCATGATAGTACAGCAGCAGACGAATGCTCTTGCTAAATCCAGTCTTTGTATGTTCTGACATTTTTGTAGCACCCAGTATGCTCTTCTTCCAGGAAGTTTTAATAAGCCGGATGCCCACGTTTTTCTAATTCTTCTCCTCTCTGCCCTCTCTCCCTGACAGCCTTCTCTCAGCCTTCTCCTCGGCTGCCCTCGGTCTTCTCTTCTCAATCGCTGGGTTCTCCACAGGCAATGCTTTCCCCACAGGACGCTCGGAAGGGCTCATGTGGCGGCCTGGCCCATTTCTGTCTTCCGTCCCAGGCTTAATTCTTCCCTGGCTGTCCCAGGATGGCCAAAGGTTTGCAGGAGAGATCTCCAGCATCTCCTGTTGCCCTGTGTGTCCTACCTCAGTGAAGGGCCAGCCAGCTGTACACACAGGGCTCAAGCTGGAAACTGGAAGTCATGTCTTCAGCCTCACATCTAACTAAAACACAAAACTAAAGACCAAGCCCTGAAAAAGTGCCCCAACCCCTAAGTATCTTCTGCATGCATCCTTTTTCATTCCTACTGCCATTTTATTAATTTGGCCTTACTCGGGATTACAATAAAAGTATTTCAACTGCTTTCTTCCTCTAATTCCATGCCCTTGAAGACATTATGCCCATTGTGTCTTACCTATGTATTTCCCTCACCCATTTAAAATTCCTAGAAAGCTCTCCAGTGCCTCTGGGGTAAGTCCAATACCGTGTTGAGATCTTCTGTCACCTGCTCTGCCCCCTCTTTATGCTGATCTCTCTCGTGTTTGGCCTGGGCACACACTGCGGCAGCCCCACTGCTCCCTGAAGACACCAAGCCATGCCACACTGCAGCTGCTGTTGAAAATGTTCTCTGCCCAATGGTCTTACCCTGCCTTATATGTCTGGAAAACTCAGAGGCAAAACTGTCTCCTCTAAATTGTACCCCACCTGACTTTACCAATTTTTTTTTGACATGAATTTCTTTGTTTACAGTGGCCCTGGGGATTGAATCAATGGCCTTTGCACGAGCTATACTCTTAATCTTTTTAAATATGTTTTGGAAACAGGGCCTTACCAAGTCGTCCATGCAGGGTTCAAACTTTGGACCCCCTACCTACCCAGACTTTTTAGTGGTGCTGGGGATCGAACCCAGCGCCTTGCATGTCCTAGTTGAGCTCAGTCTCCCATCTGTGCTACATTGCCTGTTCTCTCTCTCGCTCTTTTTGTACCGGGAATTGAACTCAGAACCTTGCGCTTGCGAGGCAGGTAGCAGCACCACTGAGCTAAATCCCCAGCCCCTATTATCACTCTCTTGTGCAGAACTCTCTTCCTGTACATGTACTGTGTCGTGTTGTTCATAAAATCTTTCCCTGTTATATGGAAGGTGTTGTGTCTTGTCCCTTTTCTATTCCTAAGATCCAATAAATGTCTGAACATCCTCTGGGTGCTCACAAAGTACCAAATCTATGAAATATAATTTGGAAGAAGAGAAAGGGAAACTAACATTTATTAACTACTCCTTACTGGCTAGGAATTATGCTAGAAAATATGCATTATTTCATTAAACTTCATAGTAATCTTACAAGGTAGGCAATTTTGCATTTCATATAGAGACATTAAATAACTTCTCTGAAGCTGCAGATCTGCTGTCGGCAGAGCAGGTGTTTAAACCTAGTTCTGAACGAATCTAGGGGTCTTTTCTGCACACTGTGTCTCCTGGGCCGACCCTTCTCATTTCCTCCATTATATTCAGGGGATTCACCACCATCAGTGCAGTTATTGTTTGCTATCTATTTAATTTCTCAGGGTGGCCCTTAGAGGGATGTGAAGACAGTCACTGCCAGTCTTTACAATCTCCCTTTGCAACCAATCTGTGTCAAAAGCTGTATGAGTATGACGTGGGCAGCAGTATGCCACAGAAAGTATCCACCCTTACATCCTCTGATTTCTTCTAAAGTACCTGACAAAGGGCGAGAGTATAAAATGAGAAGAGCAGAAGCCAGGAGACAGCTACAGGGACTGCCAGTGTCTCCTGCCAGCAGGAGCAGAAGAGAAACCCCAGTGCAAAGTTCAGGGGCTGACTGCTATGGACTCAGTGTCTGTGCCTCCTGAATTCATATGTGAAAGCCCTGCGATGGTTCAGATCCAGTGTCCCCCAAACTCTCCTGTGCTCAGAGGAGGGGCTCTGGGAAGCAGGTGGGATCAAGGGGCACTGTGCTCATCAGTGGATTCATCCACTAAGAGTTCAGCAGCTCAAAGTGCTGCTGGGAGCTGGGCCTGCTTAGCAGCGGTCACTGGGGCGAGGCCCAGAGGCTGTGGCTCCCTCCTGCTCCTCCCTTCACCTGCTGCTTCCCAGCAGTTAAGACCCGAGCATCTTTCCTTCACGGCAGGCCCTTCTACCATGGTGCTTCTGTGTTGGAGTGAGCAGGCATGGGCTGAGACCGATAAAATCCGAGCCCGCATACACCTCCCCTCCTTCAAGTTCTGGAGGTTGGGTATTTTGTTCCAGCTATGAGGAAGTGACTATTACAGCAGGGGAAGAGAAACTCCTCAAGGTGCCAAGTTCAGAGACTGGCTGCTATGGATTCAAGGTCTGTGTCTCTTCAAATTTACATGTTGAAGCTCTCACCTCCAATAGGACAGCAGCTGGAGGAGGGGCTGCCAAGATGGGATCAGTGTCCTATAAGTAGAGGAAAAGAGATCAGAGTGCTGTCTTTCTTCCTGCCACACGAAGACAGAGCCAGTATATGGCCAACTGCAAGCCAGGGAAAGAACCCTCACTGGGAACCCAATCTGCTGGCACCTTCAGCCTAGACTTCCCAGCCTCCAGAAGTGTGAGACGTAAACGTCTGATCTTTGACACGTTCACCATGGAGCCATGACTCATGTCTCGCTGCCAGGTGGCACTGATTTGAATGTGTTATGGCTTAAACTACTGGTGGTGCATGTCTGACTGTCCCCTTGGGTGGTACAGGACAGTCAAGCCAGCAGGAATGACAGAATTCAAGTCAGAGGTGCCTGGCAGGGAGACACACAAATCACAGCCCTGCTGTGAATGTGTAAAGCCACCTAGTCTGAGCCAAGACACCAGGGAATGGTCAGAGCAGGAGAGAAGCTGTACAAACATCAGTCCATCTTGTAACTGGGAAGTCAGGGAAGTAGGTTCAATATAGCAAGAGCTCAATAGTTTCAAAGGCAGCAGAGACTCAGTAGGCTAAAGATGGAAAAGAACATACAGTACAGTGGACCCTTGAGTTATGAACTCAATTAGTTCTTGAGGACCGGCTGTAACTCAAGTTGCTCAATTGAAGGCTGAGGCTCCTCTACACGGCCCTCAAAGTCTCTCTCCTATACATAGGCAGATCTTGGTATCCTGACAGAGACACTGGCCCAGGATCTCTCATTTAACACCACACAATAAAGGATGCTGCCGTGTTCCTTCCTGTATGAGACCACCTGGAAGCACAACCAGCCGGCATTCGGGTGCTAACTCAAGACTTTGTTAGTAAATTAAAACTAAAATTCTGGTTGTAACTCAAGTTGTTTGTATGTCAGGCTGGCTGTAACGCGAAGGTCTACTGTATATGAAGACATTCATGCCCCTGCTGCGAAGGACTTCTGTACTGCCAGTCAGGTGACAAACCCCGCTCTAGTCTGCTTCAACTGGCCACTGGCAACACGACAATCACCTTGAAGCTTCTAAAAATAGATGCCCTTGACTTGTGATGGGACTAAGTTCTGAGAAACCCATCCTAAGTTGAAAATAACCTGTCAAAATACATTTCATATATACATATATATATATATATATATGTATATATGTAATTTTTTAATATATTATACACACACACACACACACACACACACACACACACACACACACACCCCTGACTGACAAATATCAGATATAATTTAGCCTAGCCTACCATAAAAGTGTCTGGAATACTTAGCCCACATTTGGACAGAATCTCCTAACACAAAGATTCCTTCACAATGTGAGGAGGACTATCTCAGGTCGCTGTTAATAGTATGCTGAAAGTGAAAATAAGGGGGTGTGGACTCGCTGTTGAACATGCTTTCACATCACCGAAAGGCTGTGAGTTGACCCGCTGTACATCCTAATGCCAGGCCATCATTTCCAGAGATGCGGAGTTCGCGGTCTGGAGTGGGGCCTGGATATTGATTTGTTTTAAAAAGCTCCCAAGGTGATTCTACTTTGTGGCCAGGGCTGAGAGCCACTCCAACTCCATTTGATTGCACAATAGTGCCACGTGGTCGGTACTGCAGTGACTCTGTTCTCCGGGCAAGCGAAGGGCACAGAAAGGTAAAGGGCAGCAGCCCACTTGCCATGTAGGAGACGGGGGTGTACTTCCGGCTGAGGGATTCCACCTCTTCCAGGACGTGACCGTACACAGCCGTCATCCTCCGCTCGTACTCGCTGTCGGCATGGGCTGCTCCCGAAGACCCGTACTCCTGCAAACTGAAGCACAGATCAGCATCAGTTAATTCCTTAATCCTTTTACTTTTCAAATGTGTCAAGCATTTTCCATACATTCTCACTTAATTTTCCAAGTAATGGATTTATTTCCATTTACAGATAAGGAACCTGAGGCATGGAGAAGTTTATTTGCCTACACTCAAAACTACTAAGTGGCAAGCTAGAACTTAAAACTCAGACCTGACTTCAGATGATGTAATTTTTCGGATGGGGACAGAACCCAGACCTCTGCAGACTCTAGGGTAAGTGCTCTACCACCAGCTTCATCCCCAGCCCTTTTTGAGATGAGGTATTGCCAAGTTGCCTAGACTGGGCTCAAACTTGTGATTTTTCTGCCTCAACCGCAGGAGCAACTGGGATTACTAGCTTAGACGATGGTGACCCTTACCCACATTGTTAGGTAGTATGAAAGTACCTGTACTTGCTGCTGCCATGAGGTAGAGACATAAGATATCTGCAAAGGTAATTATCAGCATGTATAGGAATGTGCAGGGGTGTGCTGGCAAACAGAGCATTCTGGGAAAACTTGAACCTAGATTTCTTCCTTTCTGGGAAAACTTGAACCTAGATTTCTTTCTTTCTCCTGTTTCCAACCCTTAGATTTCTGAAAATATTTCTAAAGAAATAAGAAAGCAAAATTTTTGCATCCTAAACTTTTCATGGTTATTTAAAATGCATTGTAGGTAATTTAAATGTGCTGGACATTAACACTATTATTCCCTTGTATCTATTTAAGGCCTTCGATTTGCATGGCTCTTCAGCTGGGCAATTTACACAGATCTTTCCATTTGCTCTTCACAGCTCTTCTCAGAAACAGGAATCATTCTCTACCTAGAGTTTATGCAGGTGTGGCTCAATGAGATCAAACGTATCCACAGCGCTACAGCAGCCCTGAGTGGTAAGGGAATCGGTGATCACATCTGCCTGGCTCCGAAGTTCTGTTCCCTGCTCTGCACCATAATTTAAGTTCCACTAGGGCAAGAAATTAAATTATTAAAATGGATCAGATAAGGAGAAAAATAAAAGAGCCAAGTGGTCTAGTCTGAGAACAGATAGCACTTTTAAGCAGATGGCAAAAGTCTTAGCAATAACCTAAAGCAGAATGGTGAGCCAATGCTGTAGCAGGGAGAAACTGAAAGAGTTCTGTGGACAGCATTCTCTTTGAGAAAGCTATTCGTGGAATCTCATGCCTTGTTAGATTAGAATTATTGACAGTGAAATGCATATTCAAAATAGACATTCCTTGTTCAACAACCTACCTGGTTAATGACTTCTTAAACTTACGATCTGTCTTTTAAAAATTTTGTACAGTTCTGCACATCTTGTTTATACAGGCTCAATATCTCTTTTTGTGGAGCACACCGATTATACACCTGTAATTTTTGCTGACTGTACTGCACTGTAGTTTTATGTTGTTATGCAGTAGAGTACTACTGCATGTAAGAGTTACGCAAACAGAAAGTAAAGTCATCAAGCTGGAGTCTCCTTCGACCATTTCTTTGTTCTGAATATTGTAATGTACATAAGAGATACCATTCCTCATCTAGTGATCCGTTAATAACCTAGTCACAGGAATGGAACTAGGTTGTTAAATGAAGAGTGCCTGCAGAATACTCATTGGAAAAACAAATGCAGTGTTTATTTAATCATTTTGATAACTGGTTACTGGGCAGGAAAGAACAATTTTAACAAAGCAATATCAGAAATACATTTTGGTTTGGGAAATCAGTGAATAGAGTTTTCAAGCTCAAGCTTAACTGTATTATTAACTCAGTATTTCCCATGAAATTTAGTTATGTAAGAAGCTGTTCATATTCAAACAAAAGGAAGTTATTTTCCAATTCAATAGTTTGAAAACAGGAGGCAAGAGGCAAGTAAACAATGGAGAGAGAGAATTTGTTTTCTCACTAGTTATGTAACTCTGGACAAATGTTTGGAAGAGCTTTCTTTTTTTTTCCTTTCTATAATTTATTTTCAAAAACACTGTTGTGAGGTTTAGGAAAAACGTCATACTTAAAAGTGTTCTGTATTGCTTCTCAGCCTTTTGGCTAAGATCAAGTGTAAAAGTGTTTGGTATGTTAACTCTTACCTTGCTGATTCTGGATCCAAAATCAGGGCTTCTATTGTGTGAGATATCAGTAAGCAGCTCTGCTGCTGTCTACACTAATGTTAAGGTTATACATAAATAGAAGAAATTCACCACAGATCTTACATTATCTGGATACTAAATAAGTCAAAATGAGGGCTGAACTCTTAGCAGAAGTAATCATGTTACCCACTCAAATGGTCTTGGGTGCTAGCTTTTCCTTCTAAAGGATATACATTGTCTTTCCTAGGGATCCTCAAACTGTATCAGGAAAAGTCTTTCAGAGGCCACCTATTGAGGGAAGGGGGAACTAGTCAAGAGGCCTGATTTATGTAGAGCAACTCCATTTTTATCTGTCTGAGATCTAGGAGCTCTTCGAAAGAGTTTGAAACAAACAAGAAAACAACAACAAAAGTTTTACTGATGACACTTCTTAAAAAAGAAGAAAAAAAAAGCCAGTGTCTATGGAAACTTTTCCTCCATGATTCCTAAACTGGGGCTCAAGAGGTGTGTCAATTCCCTTGAAAGGGTGTACAAATTTTGGGATGTAGATCAGATATGCATTTTGTAGTGCAAAGGATCCATAGCATTCATCAAGTTTTAATCAGTAAGCCAAAATGCCAAGAACTATTGGCTGGCAAGTCCTACAACTACTTCCAAATAACTGGTATCTTTCCTCTTCCCAAAAAAGATCTGAAGTTGCTATAGGAAAATATGAAGAACTTAAAAGGGGCTTAGGGATCAAAACTGACAACTAAGCTCTCAAAAATCAATAAAGGTGATGAGAAGTAGAGTTGTTAGTCATGAAGGAAGAAAGCTGGGGCGAAACACTTTCTGGTGGAAATTCTACTGTGCTGCCTGTCTTGGCTCAAATGAGCACAAGATACGCCACACTCTACACCAGCAGGATTCAGCCTTTGTTTCTGCTCGTCTGTTTTGAGATGCATTCTTGCTTCACTGCCCAGGCTGGCCTGGATCTCCTGGGCCTCAGCCATCCTCTGCCTCCTGCAGAGTTGAAATGTAGGTGTGAGCCACTGTGCCTAGGCCTGGGGCTTTGGATGCTCTTCCTAGAGGCAGGGAATGGCCACCAATGAGTCATCACTTTTGTTTTTTTTTTAAAGCAAGACAGGTTTAAAAGTAGAATTATTCTGCTCATACTAAATTTCAAAGGGGAAACTATTGATTATAATAAATTTGAGGGTTATTTAATACATAATCTGAGTTAAACAGATCTGAATTACTTAATCTACATTTAAGAGTACTTCCCAAGAGGGCCGGTGATTTAGTTCAGCGGTGCCACCACCTGCCTTGCAAGCACAAGGTCCTGAGTTCAATTCCTGGTACCAACAAAACAAAACAAAAGAGTACTTCCCCAAGAAGAAAAAGTACTGAGGCAAGCTTAGGATATAGTTCTACGTTCCTCAATGTGGCTGAGTCAGCGTCAAAAGACGCTTGATAAAGATCTCCATATCGGGAAGCAAGACTTCTGAATTCTTCCATGGACTGTTTCATCTATAAAGAAGGAAAAACATCAATGGTCACAACATGCTATTGTTACTGCATAAACAACACAAAAACATTAAAAAAAAATCCAAACAAAAATTCAAAGAAGCACTAAACTCTTGTCATTCCATGCATTTTCCTAAACTTTGTTAAATACAGTCAGCAAAGACAGCAACTGACACAAACGTTCCTAAGATTGAAACAATTTCTATGTTGTATATAGACAAAAACCTTTTGCATTTTAAGTTTCAAGTTCCACTAAAATAATCACTACAGTCATAAGCATCCCCAAGTTTCTTTAATATCTAATTCTATTCTCTCCAAATAAACTATAGACCCACCTAGGCCTTCACCAGATCAGCCTATGCTTGGTGATTTACACATCTGACACAACATCTGAATTAAACTACTGATTTTAACTCTCAGAACTTTCAACTGCACACCTAATTTCAAACACCTCTAAAGGGTAAATAAAAACTACAATGAGATGAAAGACAGACATGCCTGATTGGAGATGCGCCCACACCTCTGGAGGTCATTTCCTAGGGTCATGGCAATTGTAGTGGCAATGGCCGGTGGAGGGCTTGTCTTTAGGCTATTACAGGTACAGATGAGTTGTGAGAAGGCTTGTAGAAGGTCAATCCTGAGTTTCACAAATTCACACTGAAAACTTAAAGGATTCAGTGGGGTACTGGCAGCCTGGAATAAAAGATATTTTGTAGTAGTATCCCCATTTTCCTATACAAAGTATTATGCTCTTCCCCATGTCCTTTATAAAAATGCACACTTGTCTAATAAAGATCCCTCTCCAACTGCAAAGGCCTGTGACCAAATAGTTTATGTACTGTAGAGGTAGAAACTGTACTTAATGTTCATGTGTGGCTTTCAAACTTTGAAATATTTTGTTCTAATTATTAAACAGTACATAGCATGGTATTAAAGAGACCATTTTCAATGTTTTTAATTTCTTAGATGAGATCTAATTTGCTCTTGTAGGAAGATAAATTCCCTCTGTCCTCTTTGCTTCTTTAGCTGCTATGAGCTGGTTTTGAGATTGAACTCGGGTCCTTGTGCTTCCAAGGCAGGCCATAGAACCACTGAGCTAAATCCCTGGCCCTGCTATGCGCTGTTTTTAATTCACTGCTTGTCCATAACTTCACAAGGGATGGGGTATACATAAGTATATATGATACTGTTTTATAAATACAATACAGACCATCCTACTTGACAAAAAATACTGGCAGTCTTGTTCTAACATGCATAATAAAGCTGAAAGAGAAGGCTGATGTAGTTATAATGAGAAAGATTTGCTGCCACTCTGATTTATTTTTGACTAAGAAGAAATATTTGATTGATGATATAAGACAATGACCTTGAAAATGATTGTGCTGTCTTGGATCATTTTAATACTGAAGGAAATGTTCAAAAGGAACACAGAAAACTTAGTTTTGGTCAAAGACTTTAGAAGGTAATATTATCCAAGAAAGATGGGAGATGTTTAGGAAATAACACCTACAACTACAGGAAAGAGAAATACAAGGCATGTTTCCTTTTCTTCACACTGGGGCTCACACTTACATAGCAGGTGGGTTATAAGGTCAGCAGACAAAAGGACTATGAGGTACAGTCAGAATGGCCCTAGACATTCTTCAAGAAGGCATTATTTCTGGTTAGTCCAACCTGGCCTGGGGTCTGAACATCAGACTTCTAACGCTCCCTCTCCGGACTGAGCTGAACGGCTAACAGAAATGACCCCCTATTTACAGTGCTTGCTGTTTTCCTTCTCTATTACTAAAGTTATTTTTCTTGTCTTTTTTCCTTTTTTTGGGTCAAACATATAAAGTTGAGTTAAACATGAATATAAAATTATTCACTGAATTTCTGACTTGTAGTACCTATTTTGTAAGGAGACCTAGCTAAAGAAACCAATGAGGCTAAAAAGAAAGCAACTTGATAAGCACATTAAAAAATATATGTAAAAAATACATAACAAAATTGCCATCCTAACTTTTTAAGTATAAATTTAGTTGTGGTAGGTATATCACGTTGTGAAAGGGATCTTGAACTTTTTCATCCTGCAGAACTGAAACCTATACTCTTTTTCCCCTACTAAGTTCCTGGCAAGCAATTACCATTCTATTTTCTGTTGCTATGGATCTACTTAAAAAATTTTTTTGGTGTTTTTGTTTTTAGTTTCTGCTGTGCTGAGAATTGAACCCCCAGCTGCATACATACCAGGCCAGCAATTTGCCACCGAGCCATACCCCCTACTCCTAAACACTTTTTACAATTTTATTTTTAAGAGGCAGGACAAGGTATTACACGTCACTTATACTGGGACATTAATGTTGGCCTAATTAATTAAATGAAGCACAGTTTGGCTGAGCAGGTGGAAAGCATAGCGTGACAGCTAACGTGGTGTCAATTTGAGTAGGAAATGCCCAACTGATGGGCCTAGCATAGTTCTGGGTGTGGCTGAGTGGACTTACTAAGAGAGAAGACACACCCTGGACGTGGGTGGCACCAACCAACAGGCTTGTAGCCTGGGTGGAATAAAACAGGAAAGGAGGAGGAAGCTCACTTCTGCCTCTTTGGAGGAGTGCAGTCCTGCCATCGACTCAGACGTCCGTGTCGAGGTTTCCAGCTCAGACTCTTCAGCCCTCCTTTGGCCTCCCAACGCAGACCTGCCTGCACAGGACTCTGCGGTGAGCGAGCTGCAGGTCTTTCACTTTTACCTGGATCATCTGGCTCTCCAGTGCACAGACAGAGCTTTATAATATTAAATCTTTCCTCTAGTGAAGCCTAACTGATAGACATGGTCTTCAGAGCTGTACAATCTCAGGCTGGGGTCATTTTTGTTAGAAAGCCAAGGTCAGTCTATGTATCAAAAAACTGACAGAATAATGCAACCAGAAATGTGCGAAGTTTCCAAGAGCCCTAAGGATCATGCTTCAACTCCTCTAGACAACACTCAAGTAGAGGACAATTTCCTTGTTTTTAAGAGAGGGTCTCTTGCTGCCCACACTGGACTTAAACTCCTGGGCTCAAGAGGTCCTCCCACCTCAGCCTCCTGGAGATCTAGGTCTTCAGGTATGTAAAATATATTTATTTATTATTCTTTTTAATCCTCAAAGCACAGTGTCTGCTACATTACAAGTTCTTAAAATCTACGGAATAAAACAACTTCAATTTGAAAGAAGAAATTTTAAGGCCCAATAACCTCTCTCAGGTCATACTGAGTTGGTGGTAGGACTGAGACTAAGTCAAGGATATGCTGTCTGTTAATTAAGTGCTTTCTACCTATGTTACAATTCAGTCCTTAATTATTACCAAGCCTCATTAAATTCACACACTACAGACCACTGTGAGCATTAAATATTCAACAGAATTTTTCATAAAACTCACTCTGTTTTTGTGACCCTGCCTCAGTTATTTTTTTTACCATTTACTACACTGATTAACCATTTTCTACTCCACCTAAACTAGAAAATAAAGTAATTTTATTGACTTGAAACAATAATTATACCTTTAAATTTTCTGTGGCATTTATTAACCTGACTTATAAAACAATAATTTTTTCCCGGAATAATCAAGAGGAAAAAATCATGGCTGTCAGCGTTGCCCTTTACAATGGAGAGGAGGCTGGGGTGGAGCATGAGCTTATTTAGCATGGGCAAGGCCCTGAGTTCCATTCCCAGCACCACCAAAAATAAAAAGAAAGAAGGAAATAGAGGGAGGGAGGGAAGAGGCAAGGAAGAAGGGAATCTTTCTGTATTTTTAAGTAGCCATCAATCAATTCTAGCCAAAAAATAAAAAACTGTACTTTAAAAAAAATGTGCTCCACAGTAGCCCTAACACCGTCTCTCTTGTGATACATACATTTATTTCCTTTGAAGCACTTCTTTTGTGGTGGTCCACAATTAAAGATATTTTAAGGCAAGGCATAGTGGTACACACCTATAATCACCAGAGCTTGGGAGGCCAAGGCAGGAGGATCACTGAGTTCAGACAGCCTGAACTGTACAGTGAGACCCCCGTTTCAAAAAAAAAAAAATGTTTTTAGATATAGTACAAAGTGATATAAACAGACACTAAAAGTTTTATGGCTTTACCTCAATATATGCCTTTTTAAAATTGTGTGACAATACTTTTAAAACGTTTCATGTCGATTATACAGTCTCTAGAGAAAAGCCCTTTGATGAATGCAGAAAATGTTTATTTCATTCTTACTCAGGAACATTTGACGGTGGCCCTGGTTAGCGTCTTACTAAGGATCCTCTTTACACACACACAAACACACACACACACACACACACACCCACACGGCACCCAGTACTTTATAAAAACAAACATCAACTTTCATTATCTATGAATGTTAAGAAAGGGAAGGGTCTAAGGTTTATTTCCATGACCTATTCAATTACCTTCATGTTGCTAAATATACATACTAGCAAGTTTCTCAAATAGTTAAAATAGGAAAATCCAAAAAGAGGAGGGAGAGAACTCGCCAGTGAATCAGTGTCCCCAAGGAAGAATTAGGAGGACTTACTGTCAAGGAAGCAATCCCTTTATGGTAATATTTTAAAGACTCGGCAATGCAAGACAGTGCTGAACTGTAATTCTCTTCCTGCAGCCCCGTGAGACACTGCTCTGCATGTGAGAACTCCTTCAAACTGTTCAGCCAGAAGTAGAAGTGTTCCGAGGCAACCTGAGTCAGCAAGCTCTGGTACAGCTCTCTGGCCATATCATGATTACCCTAAAAAGGGAAGAAATCAAAACAAAGGAAAGAAAGAAAAAGCTGAAGGAGCAGATAGTGAGGTTCTCACATTTGAAAGAGTTGATGCAGCAGGTCAAGGACAAACCCAAGCTCTGGATAAGCTTGGATAATCATTTCTCACATTACATAATTCTTTGAGAAAATATGCTGAGCTGCTTTTATGTAACACAATGCCTAAAGTTCTTTACCAAAACAGTTCTAAAGAGAAGGTAAATAAAATGAACTATAACTCAAGTTTAGAATATTAGGCTAAACTGTAGAAAGCAAGATCACATGTGGCGTGTGTCACGCTGGACGAACCAGCAGTGTTGAGGGGACCACGGGGTGGGGGGTTGCTGTTGGGGGAAACATGAGCACTGCTTAATGCCAGGGGCCAGGGATGCTCCAGCGCTCAGGGAAGTTTGCTGTTGTAACGCAAGGCTGTTCTAGTGCACCACTGAGAACACGAGCACTGACCACCCACAGGAGTGCTCTCAAACTTCGTTCTCACTTATCCCCACACGATTTCTGTACAATCCAGGCTTCGGATTTCTTCCCAAAGAAAGGCAGTAAAATTGTTCGGGTTTCTGTATGGCTGAGACAAGTGCAGTATACTAAAACCTCCCTGGTTCTACTTAATGATCAGAAGGTTGGGGACAGAAAGAGAAGCACAGCATGGTACATTGATCAAGGACAAAAACAGTGGTGATGTGGCCTGGGTCCGGACAACACAGGACGAGGTGAAAGTGCACTAACAACCTCCAGTCAGAAAGAGCTTGGACTTCAGCTTCCGCACGACACCGACACACACAGCAACACAAACGCCTCATTTATGAGAAAGGCTAACAGTTAGTTATGTCCCTTCCTTCACTTACCCAGACCCCAGGAGGAAAAAGCACTCCCCTCTTCATTGTCAGTTCTGACTCTGAGTAATAATAACCACCGAACCCAGGGCACATGACTCCCACCAACCCAGTACCCAGAGGGGCACCGCGTACCATCCTGGAGGCCTGCCTGGCAATGCGGTACACGGTCCATCCGTTGGAGACGCTTTCAAGCTGCTGCTTAATCACGGCCTTGACTTCGGCAGACAATGCTTTCTGGCTGGCTACGAAAATCACCGTAGCTAGACTCACCTAACCGTGAACAAGTAAGGAAAACAAGAACATCATGTAATTGTACCCAATGACAAATATAACTGACTCAAAAGGGAGAAAAATCAATTATGGTTCATTTAAAAGTACAAAACTTGTTTTTCATTAACATTTATTTCTAATTTTGAGAAATTTCTGAGCATTCCACTGACACAGAGCACTGTTTATAAAATCAAATTAGAAACAACGCCCATAAATTAATGATGTAATCTCACAACGAGATACTAAACAGATAACTGAACAGGATAAACTAGATATACTTATCAATACAGATGATTAACAAAACAGGGAAACTGAAACTGACTACTAACAGTATAACTATGTAAAATAAAAATACCTAAATGAATACTGCATATTACTTAGGAATATACATTGAGATCATAAAAATGTAACAGGCATGGGGATCACAGATACCAAATCCAGGGCAGAATTTATTCGCTGAACTGGAAATGCTCTGAAATCTGAAAATGTGTAAGTTTTAGATTTCTGAGTCCAGATTCTAGATTTTTGGGTTAGGGGTGCTCAACGTGTAGTGTAAAAATCTCACAATGTCAATTTTGTTTCGCGTCATCATGCTCCTGGATTCAGATAACTGCTTTAACCAGTTATTCACTTTATTCTACTTTTAATCAAAGTCAAACAGTAGTGGTGACTTCCTCAAATGCTTCCCCAAGACCATGTCCTGGCCTCGCAGCAGATGGAGACAGCCGCTCTTTACCAGAAGTTCCTGTTGCTTGTCCGTGGCCGAGCGTCCGATCACCTTGTAGAGCTCCATGAGGTCGCCAAGCATCCCATCGCCCAGCACCGGCAGCTGCATGGCAATGGCTGCCAGGCAATGGCACATCAGGATCCGCGCGGCATCCTGGGCACTGTGCAACTGAGTCAGCAAGGTCTCCACCACCGACTGGCTAAGGTGGGGCCTGCCCTTGGCCAGCTTCACCATGCAGTTGAGAGCAATCTGCACGCCACAGAGAAAACACACTAGTTACACTCTGAAGGAATTTCAGTTTGAAAGAAATGAGCTTTATATAAATTACGGAAAAAAACTGAGGGAAGTTTTTGTAGGCATCACATTTTTCTTCATAAGACACACGTGACATCCTGAACCCCACCCCACACGAGGCCTGTGAAGTACTATGTTTGAGGTAACAAGTCACAGCTACACATCAAAACATCAACCATTCATTTCAAGCTAAGACTATTTTTTTAAAAAGATGAGACAAAACTATAAGGTATAATGCTGAAGCAAATAGACGCCAAATCAAATGTACTTTCACTACTTTTCAAGGACTGCTTCTAAAATGTGCTTTATGAACTATGCCAGAATATATCTGGCTGGTGAGTTTCCTGCCCCCTCACATCCCAAACTCATGAATTAACTTTTATGTGCGTGTGTACTGAGGTTTCTGAGAATTCAGTTGTCGAGGTCCTTGGTGATTCTAAGCACACTGAAGTGGGGACAAGTTTCTACTTTTCTCATATTTCTCAGCTGAAATCTAAAACCAGCTGACTTAAGAGCTTTTCCTTCTCAGGCTCAGGTAATGAGATAGTCAATATTTCCCACCAATAAAACTAGAAGCATGGAAATCTTTTCACTTTCATACCTAACTGATTCTTCTGTCAAGTCTCTAACATGCACTGTTAGCTCCATTTTTCCAATATAATTGAAGTCTCTCCCTAATTCTAATCTCTTGAAAAGATGCGCACATCAATCCATCCTTTCTACTACAACCATTTAGCTATCCGTGTGGTGTCTGGGGCTCATAATAAACTTCAATCTGATGGACAAAAAGTGCCCTTTATTAGTGATATGGCTTTGAAGAAGTTATATGTACAAGGGTTTAATAGGTTAGCACATTAACACACACTAACAAATTATAAAAAAGTTGGAGCATGTTTATTATTTTAAAATTCGAGTATTTCCTCACTACCTATAGAATGTGCATGTTCCCTGGCATGTCCGACATGCCCCATAATCCAGCTGTACAGTACTTTTCAATCTCCTACTATGTCTCCACCCACAGTGGTCCACTCACTGTTTCTGCTTCCAAGTCTTCTGAGCTTCGACGTTCTTTCCGACTTTACTGAAATTCTCATCCATCTGTCAAGGTTCCACTCGAGACATCCACTCATTGAATCTTCCCTAAGATCCTTCACTCACATCACTCTCTCCCAGCTCTATCCACTCATCAGAACTGCACCTTCATTTATACTGCAGAGAATGCACTGCATTCTGCTTGGTTTTCTTATATGAATGTCCATCCCCTACTCCTGACAGAAAGCCCCGTTAACACAGGAGCATTCATCATTATCCACCCGTGTCCCCCTGAGCCAAGTCCAGTGTTATAAAAAATCTTTGATTACTAGCAAAAGGATTTGTTTTTGCTTTATTGCATTTTTAAATTTAAAGGTACTGTGGTTCTAACGGGATTCTGAGGCCCTCTCAGGATGCACTACCAAACGTGTGTTGTCTACTTCCTTCTGTCACCTCCACACTTTCATTAATCATGTTACCATCTTATGATGGAATACCTTTTCTTAACATGCAAACGAGACATGATTTCTTTTGAACCATACTGACGATAATGAAGTTTTCACATTCCTCAATGTATATCTAATAGCATTTTATTATTAAAACACTTTTATTAATTTTGCATCATCACATATTACATTTCACGTTTCATTCCAATAAGTCTCATCTTACATTTAAAAAATCTTAAATATACCTAAGACAGAGGTGGCTGAATCTGGAGTGTGTGACTGACTCAGTTGCGCTAGGACCAAGGGCACTAGGATTAAGGAAGTGGGTGCTACCTGCCCTAAACAGTCTGAGTAAGACAAAAGGGGCAGGAAGACACTGTCACGGTCCCTTGTGGCTTTTGCTGCCTTCCACCACCGTAAACTGTTGCCCCTCTGCCATGTGCCACTTTGCCTCGGAGACAGCCAATTATGGACTGAAACCTTTAGGAACTGTAAGCCAAATACACCTTTCCCCCTTCAACTTTGAGTGTCAGGTATTTTGTCTTAGCAACAAGAAATAATAAGACAGACAGTTTCTATACTTAACTGAAAGTGAAAATTCTTAACAGTAATTCCTCCCTTGGTTTGTAAACTAAGGCTTCTACATTCAAGCAACTAATGAATACTTACATATTAATGAGTTTGGATACAGTCATTTCAGCAGGTTTTTTTTTGGGTACCGGGATTGAACTTGGGACCTTGAACTTGAGGCAGGTGGTGGAACCACTGAGCTAAATCCCCAGACTAATTTCAGCATTTTTTTTGTGGCTGTTAATTATTATCTCAGACTAAAACTACTATGAGAGTTCTACCTATTTATATTGTATAGAATTATATCTGTTCACTGCAACTTAAAACACTCGCAGCTGGTGGCAAAATGGGCTGATTCATAGTTCTACTCTACCTTGTGGGATACTATCAAAGAGCTTGTCTTCAAAGTGACATCAAGGGAAAATGTTTTTTAAGCTAGGAGCTATTGCCTCCTGTCCAAATCTAGCCCCTTGCCTATTTTCGTGAATGGAATTTAACTGGAACACAGACTTCCTCTCCCTCTCACCTTGAACATTCTGTCCACAGCTGCTCTTGCCCTGCAACTGTGGCAGCCAGTAGCTGTAATGCAGTGTTTGTGTGGGCAAGTTAAAATATTTACAGTCTGAGCCTTTACAGAAAGACGGCCAGGCCCTAGTGTAGGCAATGAAGATGGGCATCATGTTAGGCGGTGATATTTTACCTTTAAAGTGGCCTGAGCACCAGGACTATCATCCTGACTACAAAGCACCAGAAGGGATTCCAGGCCAAAGACAGCATCTTGTTCCAGTGCCAAGAGATCTAGAAGAAAAGCACAGAGTTTTAGGGTGATCAGCAGAGGATTAAGTACGGGAATGTGTGCATACACACCGCACTTACATAGGGAAAAGCATCAAGTATAAGACCTAAGAAACACTTTACCCTTTCTTGAAAAAGTCTATGCAGCATTATTTCTAACATGCAAAGACCTATCATCAAACTTATTTCTACTGCTTGATGTAGACTACAAAAATATACACATTAAAGCTATAATGAAAGCTAAATTGAAAACAGCATCACCAACTTAACTAGGAAAGTGTTAAGGACAGAAAAATATGCTGTGTGTGTTAATCTTCCCAATCAGACAAATTATACAGGCCTATTTTCACCTAATATGAAACAGTCTTCCGCTTCGAATGAGAGTCACCCAGTTACGAAGACTCCACAAAATCTTGCCAGTGTTTTCAGTCTGACCTTAAGGAATGAACACTTGGATGTTTCCTGTAACAGCAGCGCTACAGCATCCTTTCACTACCATAGGGATACAGTTCCGCTGGGGGATCTAGAAAGCTATGAATGGCCTAGTTAAATGTATTTAGGTTGACATATGTCAGTGTTAAGAATACACAGTAGCTTTCAATATTACACGGCAAAAAGCCGGACATGGTGGCGCATGCCTGTAATCCCAGCACTCAGAAGGCTAAGGCAGGAGGACTGCTGTGAGTTTGAAACCAGCCTGGGTTACATAGTGAGTTCCAGGTCACTCTCAACTACATAGTGAGGCCCTGTCTCAAACCACCCCCC